AAAACAAAAATTTAATGTGAACTGATATTACTCTAGATGATAAAAAGTTGAAAGCCATATACTCAGGATGCTGAAATACACATCTGCTCTCACTATATCAATAACACGGACCTGGGTGTGGAGACTATATCATAATTTGATGATGCAAAAACATAGAGTTTGTTACACCATGAGGGAAACTATAAGGGATAGTAGAATGACAATAAGTAAGTTAGCAGAACAGGTCAGGTATCATTTGAAATTTGAAGAAGGGGGAGGTATTACATTTTGGGAAACAAGGAATAGCATATTTTTTAAACTCGTTCACAGAATGGGACTATTGCTGACTAAGCCAATACTTATTGCTCATTGGCCTGAGAAAGGGATAGTGAATCACCTTCTTGAACCATGCCTATGTGGTACTGGCACACTCACAGTGTTGTCAGGAAGGGAGTTCCAGAATTTTGACTCATCAATATGACAGTGATATGGTTCCAAATCAGGATGCATGTACAGATTGAAGGGGAATTTCCAGATGGTGATGTTCTCATGGACTGACTGCCTTTATCCATAAGACCACAGATATAGGAGCAGAATTAGGTCATTCAGCCCATTGGGTCTGATGCACCATGGCTGATATCTTTCTCAACCCCATTCTCCTGCCTTTTCCCCATAATCTTTGATCCCCTTCACTAATCAAGAACTTATCTATCTCTGCCTCAAATACACTCAATGACTTGGTCTCCACAGCCTTCTGCAGCAATCTGTTCCGCAGATGCACCATCCTCTGGCTGAAGAAGTTCCTTCTCTATCAGTTCCAAAGGATCTGCTCTTGCATTCTAGCCCTCTTGAAAAGAATGCTAACATTGCATGTGCTTCCTAACTGCCTGAACCTACATGTTAACCTTAAGAGAATCCTGAACTAGGACTCCTAAATCCCTTTGTGCTTCAGATTTCCGAAGCCTTTCCCATTTAGAAAATACTCTATGTCTCTACTAGTACCATCAAAGAGCATAATCTCACACTTTCTCACATTGTATTCCATCTGTCATTTCTTTGCTCACTCTGTCCAAGTCTTTCTGCAGCCTCCCCACCTCCTCAACATTACCTGTCCCTCCACCTATCTTTGTGCCATCTGCATTGTGCAACAATACCGTCAGTTCCTTCATCCCGATTGTTAAAGTAACCTACCAGCTGGTAAAGGTTGCAGGTTGGAAGCTGCTTGGCCCTAGGGCACTAACCTGAAAAACTACTCCAGAGATATCCTGGAGCTGAGATGACTGGCATCCAACAACCATCTTCCTTTAATCCAGGTATGACTCCAACTGCAGAGTTTCCTCTAATACCCCTGACACCAACTTTGCTAGTGCTCCTGGGCCACAGTCATCAAATGCAGTCTTGATGCTGCCTTGCTACATGAAATGTTCAGCTCATTTGTCCATGCATTGAACAAGGTTGTAATGAGGTCAGGTGGTGAGTGGCCCTGGCAAATAAAAACTGAGCATCAGTGGGCAGGTTATCACTGAGTTAAGTGCCACTTGATAGCATGTTGTCCACACTCTCCATCACTTTACTGATGATTGAGAGTAGCCTGATGGGGTGGTAATTGGCCAGGTTGGCTTTGTTCTGGTACGTGAGTGGAGGACATACCTGAACAACTTTCCACATTGTCAGGTAGGTGCTGGTGTTGTAACCCTACTGGAACAACTTGGCAAGAGATGCAACCAGTTCTGGAACACAAGTGTTCAGTACTGTTCCGAGAATGTTATCAGGGACCAGAAGCTTTGCGGTTTCCAGTGCCCTCAGCCATTTCTTGATATCACATGAATTAAACCAAATTGGCTGAACACTAGAACCTGTGATGCTGCAGAGCTCAGGAGGAATCTGAAATAGACCAAAGATTTGTCACTTCTGGTGGAACAGCAAATGCTTCAGCCTTATCTGTTGCGTTAATGTGCTGGGCTCCTCCATCACTGAAGATAAGGGTATTAGTGGAGCTTCTTACTCCTGTTAGGTGTTTATGATCAGATTCATGATCAAATGTGGCAGGACTGCAGAGCCTAGACTTATCCACTGATTGTGGGATCACTTCACTCTGTCTATCACATGTTTGACACACAAGTAATCCTAGTTGTAGCTTCATTGGGTTGATATGTCATCTTTGAGAATGCCTGTTACTGCTGCTGGCCTGCCTTCTGTACTTTTCATTGTACCAGGGTTGATTGCCTAGCTTGATGGTGATGGTAATGGTATAGTGGGGAATATGCCAGTCATGAGTACAGACTAGTTGAATAGTTACTGCTCCTGTTGACTCACAGCGCCCCATGGATGACCAGTTTCAAGTAGTCAAATCTGTTTGAACTCTATCCTCTCCAGCAAATTGTCAATGTGAAGATGTATATCCTCAACAGAAAGACATCAAAAGGTATGGGTGAACAGGCTGAGGTTTAAACACAAATTTCTTTAAAAATTCAAGGTAACACAAAAAAAACAAAAAAAAACTTCTGAAGAAGGGTCCAGACCCGAAACGTCAGCTTTCTTGCTCCTCTGATGCTGCCTGGCCTGCTGTGTTCATCCAGCTCTAAACCCTCATAGAAACACCAATACTTTTTAAGCTTATAAACATGAGCACAGAGTACAAGAGCAAAGAGCTAGTAATAAACTCCTACAAGCAGTAGTTAGGTCACAGTTAGACTTTGGTATGTACTTTTGGCACCTATATTCGAAAAACACTAATCCTTAAGGACTCTACAGCAGTCTCACAAATAAAATACCATGGATAGGAAGGTGGTTGAAAGGAAATTCTACAGTCATTTCGCATGGAACAGAGAAACTAAGAGGAAATTTAGTGGACATTTTCAAACTATGAAGCATTTGATTTGGATAAACAGAGAAAGAATATTTCTTCTGAAGTCAATGTTGAGGGGGCTACTAATTTAAAGCAAAGAGTCAGGAGAGATTTACTTACACAGAATTTGTTGAAGCATGAAATGCTTTGTACAGGGAATAGTTGGGACACATATCATTGCATCTTTTATGACCAAAGTTGATAAATATCTGAAGCAGATGTTAATACAGGCTTATGAGAAAGGAAAAGGGCAGTAGATTTAGTAGGGATATTTATGCAAAGAGCTGATGAAGGCATGATGAAACTGCATAGTCTAGCATATAAACTTATATGGCTCTACAACATTATTACTTCCACTAATGGAGGTGGGAGAAAATTTTTTTGCCCCTGATATTATTCTGTTTGTCTGTAAACAAAATGTTTCAAAAACTAATGGACCGATTTCAACAAAATATGATTTTGTATCCAGCCCAATCAGTACCTGATTAGATTTTGGCAAATCTACATCCTGGAAGTTCTTAAAAGGTCCCTTAATATTCGAAGATGGGATGAATTGGGGTTTTTTTATCTAAGAATGTTGTGGTTTGTTTTATTTTGAATGTTGCTGATATTTTTTAGAATACCATGGATTATCTCAGTTGTTGTGGTAGAATTTGTTTCAGGTGCCAAAATGTGGGCAGAGATTTCAGAGTAGGCTGTTAGATGTAGATTGGCCTCAGGCCTCCTCAGTGAGATGGAAGATCTTAATAAAAACATCTGTTTTTTTTTCACTTTTAGTAGTTACACAACATCAACCAAGTAGGGCAAAGCCTCAAGAAAGAGCTGCATTGTAACTGCATTAACATTGAGTAATGTAGCATGGAAGTGGCACGTGCTCTACTAAATGTCCTCTTCATTTGTTGATACAATGCATTATCACCCACAGTAATTTGCCCATTTATAGCTAATATACTAATATGTTATTAAAAGACTAACCCAATTGCTATTTGTTTCAGCTGTATTTTGTAAAAGCAAAATGGCTGTCCCACATATTAGGATGGTTGCAACCACTGAGCTTGCTTTTAAATTGCTTCAAATTGACACAACATAGGAATGTTGGACACTATGCTGTGAATGCATTTGTCGTTAAGTCCACCACTTTCTAACTTCACTGGTATATTGAAAAACATTTTAATATAATAATGCTAGATGAAAAAAATGTGACAAGTCTGGCTTTGTAAGAACTGTTCATTGATATAATTTGTGCTAAAATCATAAACACTTCAGGACAGAGTTTGTGCTATACGCAAAATCTGTGAAACAGGCACAGATCATTTACATTACACTAAACTCAAAACCTGCAATGAATCAGTGCAATCAGATAGCCTTTTAAAATGTAACTTTCAAAAGACGTTGATTTAAAAATACTCTGATATATTTGAGAGAGAATTAGGTGCAGATTGATTACTACAGGTGTAAGTGCGTTTATTTGAAAATGTGTCAATTTACCACCAATTAATGACTCAATTTTAAATTGTCAAAAATGTTTTTAAAAATATGCAGACCTATATTCTCCTTGTATCGGTTGGCAATTGTCATTTTCTTAGTAAACTGATAAATAAATTTTATTCAAAAGCTTTAAATCTTTCCTATACTTGTCTTTGCACTCAAACAATTCAATTTTGGCACATTACTTGTGGGTTTTTTTAAAAGTCATAATTCACTCAAGTCTATATACTGCTTAAAAGTAGTTGCATGTTTAAGAGATTTGCCAGTTAACGACCCAAGAGAGTGTAGTTAGCTTCAGCTGTCAAAACTATGACAAAGAAAGATAGCTGTTTGCCAGTTACTTTCTAACCTGCTCAAATCAGTTAATTATAAATACTGTACATTCACAAAATGATATTTAATTGATGAGAGTCTGACAGTGACCACATACTTGTTTCTAAATATTAAATGATCAAGATTTGACTAAAATGTCAAAAGATTTCAAAATAAAAAAGTACTTAATACAGCTGATGATACCTTTAATTAATTTTTAACATAGTTTGAGCTAATGGTGATAGAATACGAAAAAAAACTCTCATTTTTATTTTTTTTAAATGCCCTCTGATCAATCTCCAGCTTGGTGGGCTTCTAGGGCTTTTCTGAAATCGTTAAAAGCAGTTGCTAAGTGTCGCATGATTCAGCCACAGGTGAGTAATCTTCACGATAGTCCCTTCAGTCAGTCAACTACTTATCACTTGACCGTCCCACTGAGACTGGACTCATCCGGGAGAAAGTGAAGGAGAAAACTCCAACTTCATGGTGAGTTGACACATATCTCTGCTCTATTTATTTACTCAGAAAAAAATCTTAAATTTATAATTAAGCAATCGATTTTTCTCGAAAAGTTAGTTACTCATAAGTTTCTAATGGGAAGGGGGAGCTATTGAAACCGAAATTGTATTTTTAAGTCACCAAAAACATTCAAATGGTACGTTCTATTTCACATAATATGGTAAGCGCCAAAAACTTTGAAAAAGTTTGTGTGCTGGTGATCTATGTTCCTAAAGGTATTTAAGAAGAACAATTTCAAAACACTAACTGTACAAACCGCCAGACCAAACACATTTTGTCTTTTTTCTTCATTGTACAGTAAATATAGACGAAATGGATTCCTGGCATGTTGCATACATGAGGGAAAAAAAACTTTTAGGTGCTATTTAACTTCAAAATTAATCGACAGTTAACAGTGAAACCCGTTTCTTTTTAAAAACGGACTGAAAATCAAGGGATTAAGAAACGTCAGCAAAGGCCTTCTGACATTTTTTTTCAGAAACCACACGTGGAAATACTATAAATAAAACGCAAGTTAAATGTCAATATTTACGTCTGCCCGATCAGGTCCCGCTTATTTTATCAATTTAAACAAAAGCGGGAATCGTCCCGGGGGCAGAAGTCGTAGATTATTAAATCACCAGGAGCTGCTCCGAAATATCCCACCAGTTCGGTCGACAGCAGGAGAGAAGCGCCTTGCGATTTGTAAACATATTTAGACGGTGCAAAAAAAAAATTTGCGTATATTATATATATCTTCAGCTCTTTTATTTCGGGAGATTTTAAGGATCACTGATCAGAAACAAAACATGGGGAACACCTTAAACAACATTTAATACAAATTGTCTTCACAAACGCCATCCTTCACGGCCCCCCCCCCCCACAACAACAACAACAACAAAAACAACCCCCCCCCACCATCATCAAACATCTTGTGGCGGGGGGGTTGCTCTCTCAGAAAGGCGAATATTTACACAATGATAAATAGCTTCTGTCACCCGGAGAGAGCCGTCTGCAGCGCCGCCTTCTTCCTCAGGCCTCGCTTCTTGTAAAACTGTCGCCACAGTCAATGGACTGCACAGCTCCCGCCAACACTTCACAGACCGCCCGCCCGACCGCCACACATACACACACACCGAAAGCGGCAACCAGATCACACAACAACAACAACAAAAAAACCGGACAAAGGCCGGGCAGGGAAGGGAGCCGGGGGTGAGAGAGAGGACAAAGCTGTCTTTTACCTGCCGTGAAACCAGTCTTTGCACGCATCGCATTCAATCATAAATCGAGTTACGTCGTAAGGTAACCGACAGATGCAGTAGACTGGTACAGTCGCCATGTTTTTAGCTGGCTCCCCAGAATGAGAGCGAAGCGCCTTCTTGCCGCACACAACAATTCTTGCAAATGTTTCCTCTTCTTCCCCCTCCCTCAACTCTGTGTTTCTGCGATGGCTGGGTGCCCTGTTTACGGTCTGTGGGGTTTTCCTCTCTTGTTTCTCTCTCCTCCGTCCTCCCTCTCCCCGACACACTCAGACATAACCTTCCTTCTGAAGTTGCTCACATCGTCTCTAAGCTGCGGCTCCGGGCACAATGCGCTCGCTCTCCCTCTCTGCCGCTGCCTGACAGTTGTATACTGTACGGAGCAGACTGTATCCTTTCATTGCTAAATTACGTCAGGCAACTCACTGGCTCTCAGAGCTTCAATACTATTGTAACCAGCGCATCGACACTGAGCTCCCCTGCCACAATGTAACAACAGCCTGCTTCCCATCAAACTTCAGAAATAGGCACAGCAAAACACACCTTCATTTTTTATTTGCGCCTTAAAAGTTGTCCATGGATCTGTAACTGTATCCGCACTATACCCTTCCCCTCTCTCTAAAGCTGTTACTTATTGCATATTATACAGTAAAAAGTATCGTAAACGCAGAGTCAAATTAAAAATTGGAAGTTAGTTACGATCAAAAGAGTATTGAAAGGTTGCTAGGGAAATAACATATTACCACGCCACGTTATTTGTTGAATGGGCAAAGTAATTTTAGAACATGAATTCTCTACTCACATTCTGGAACAAACCATGTTTGGAAAAAAAAGTGATGTTTATTTATGCTATCCAGAAAAAAATGTAATATGTAATTATAGTAATTATGGATACAAACAACTAATCAATTCTTGAATTATGATACAGGATCTCGAGGTATAACTGATATTTTTACATCACGTGTAAATTTGTTAAAATTTCTATCCGTTATGCCAGCTTTACTGCATTCAGCGCAGCTTTAAATGGATAAATAATAGATAATCATCGTAAATCAATTGGTTGATATAACTTTAAAATGTGCATTTATACTAACCAACAGTATTCAATTTCAATGAGATAGTAGTGCAGCATCTGCCTAGCTGCAAGTGTACAATAACCATTCTTCTCAGTAGTGAGGTCTGTGTGTAGTTTGATTCTTGCACAGACAGCATTTTCCCAATAGAGATAAAATATTGAGAATACTTTCTCTTTAAATATTAAAATGAACATTAAAACATTTGATGTTCAATTTCACATTGAAGACTGGACCTTTTTTTGTTTCAAATCAGGTTTAACATTATATTCAGTTTTCAGTCAACATAGTGCCTCTGCAGAACTGAGTGAAAATTATCTGCAGAGAATCATACACTGCTTCACTCTAGAGTCACAGTGAAACAAAAATGTGAAATGAAAACTGTTCCACACATTGCTAAAGTTGTGCTGGCAATCTACCCTAAAGCATTAACTTAGCTTTAGAGTTCTGTCCACATTTATAAGCCACTTGAAATGCAGTTTTGATATGTTAGATGATCAGGAATCTTCAATTGAATTAAGCATATAGTAATGCTGAAAATTCTAGAATTATGAAATAAAATCAGAAATTTCCTAAAGTACATAGCTGGGCAGTCAGCAACTGAAACAGAGAGACAAAGCAATGTTCCAAGGAGAATTTACAGGATAAACTCTTAACCTTTCAGTAAAAGCAAAATCACAGGATCATAAAGTGTTTACGGCATGGAAAGAAATCGTCAGCCATTGTGTCTGCACCAACTCTCCAAACGAACATCATGACTTAGTGGCACTCTTGTGTCTTTTCCCTTTACTGTTGCACATTATTTAAACAGAACCAATCATTAATGCCCGCTTGAATATCTCATTTGAATCCACCTCTACTACACTTTCAGGCAGCATTTTCTAGGCCCATACCATTCATTATGTGAAAAAAAAATTCTCTCACATCTCACTTGCTTCTTTTGCAAATCATTTTAAATCTGTGCCTTCTTGTTCTTGAATCTTTTACAAGCAAGAGCAGTTTTTCCCCGTCTACTTTATCCCCTTCATGATTTTGAAAATTTCTATCAGCTTGCCTCTTACCCTTTTCCTCTACAAAGAGAACAGTTTCCCCTCTATTCCTATTACTGAGCTTTCTCATTCCAAGAACCATCTTTGTAAATATATTTGGCATTTTCTCCAATGTATTTGTTTCCTTCCTATAGTGACGCACCCGTAACTGTAAACAATACTGCAGCTAAGACCTGAAAAGTGCCTTTCATAAGTTCAACATCATCTCCTTTACTACTTGGTCTATTAACTACTCTCTCCACCTGCCCTGCTATCATCAATAATCTGTGCATGTATATATCCAGGTCCCTCTCTTTCTGCAATCCCTTTAGAATATCCAAGGTACCTCACTTCACACTTTGCTGCATTAAACTTCATCTGCTACCTAACCGCCCACTCCACCAACATGTCCACATCCTTCTGAAGTTCTCCACTCTCTTTCACACAGTTTACAATCATCCATATCCTTTGAAATTATCCACTATGTACGAAGATCCAGACCATTAATATACATCAAGAAAAGCATGAATCCCAATAGCAACCCCTGGGGAACTCCATTAAAAATCTTCCTCCAGCACAAAAAATATCCATTGACCACTAATCTATGTTTTCTGTTACTCAGCCAATTTTGTATCCGTGTTGCTAGTCACTTTTATTCCATGAACTATAACTTTTTCCACGTCTTCTGTATGGCATTTGCATGTCCATTTATTCCACATCAATAGCTTTATACTGATTAATTCCTGTATCTTGAAAAACTCCAGCAAGTTAGTTAAATGTGATTTCCCCTTTAGAAATGCATTTTGGCTCTTGCTAGTCAACCTACCTTTTTCAATGTGACTACAAATTGTACCCCAAATAATTGATTCCAGAAGCTTCCCTACCACTGATGTTAAACTGACTAATCTTCAGGTTGCTAGGCTTATCCTTACAATCATTTTTGAACAAGGGTGTGATTATTGCAATTCTACAGTCTTCTGACTCCTCTCCTGAGCCCAGGGAAAACTGAAAGATTTTGGCCATTGTCCCTGCAACTTCCACCCTCACTTCTTTAAAAAAATCCTGGATGCATCTGCCAGCCCCAGTACATTGTCAACTTTAAGTACCAACAGCCAATACAACATTTCTTCCATTAATTTTGGCTCTAGTGACCAACCTTTGTCACCATGACCTGGTAATAATCACTTCCTTCTTTAAGGCAGATGCAAATTATTAATTTAGTTTGCTCCCACTCTCCGCGTGTAAATCCCCTTCTCCATCCTCGATTCGTCCTATTCCACATTTTGCCATTCCCTTACTATTTTACATCTTTTGAAGACTTTGGGATTCCCTTTATGTTGGCTGCCAGTCTGTTCTTGCAATTCATTTTTGCTTCTCTAACATGCTTTCTCATCTCCCTTCTGAATCTTTTATATTCCGCTTAGTCCTCAATTATATTTTCGACCTGACACCTGCCATAAAAATACTTTTCTGTCTTTTTTCTTAATTTCTATCTCATTTGTCATCCAGTGACATCAGGATTTGTTTGTCCTATCTTTCCTATTTGAGGGAATACACCTTGACTGTATTCAAACCATCTCCTTTTTTGACGTAGCCAATTGCTCAGAAACAGTGTCTCCTGAACCTTTCATTCCAGTCAATCCAGCCCAACTCCTTTGTTTTGCCCATTGAAGTCGGGTCTCTGCCAATTGTTATTTTCATACTTCTGTATTGAACATTATCACTTACTCCATTACCCTAAACATTACAACAGAATGATCATTTCTTCCTAAATGTTTCTCCACTGGCACTTGATCTACTTGGCCCACTTCATTTTCAAGAACCAGGTCCAACACTGTATCCTTTCCTGTTGAACCAGACACATACTGGTGTAGGAAATAGACTACACCGAATAATGTTATAGCATCGTTCTTATTCCTGAACTGCAGTGAAATTGATTCTGTCCTTGAACCCTCTGGGACATCCTCTTTCCCCAGTTCTTGCAATGGTTTCCTTAACCAATAGTGACACCCCTCCACCTTTCCTTCCTATTCTAACTTTTCTCCACATTTTGTACCAGCAATATTTTAACACCCAGTCTTGCCTTTCTTTGAGACAGGTTTCTGATATCACCATGACATCATGTTTCTATGAGGCAATCTACACCTGTAATTATCCAATCTTAGCTGCTATACTCTATGCATTCACATTGTGATGTAAACCATGAGATTTAAATGTATAATTTTTAATGTTATTATTGTGAGTCTGTATTCCTAGTTTTAAAGTTCGTAACCAGCGTGTATTCTGTGTCTGTATTTATTAATTAACTTGTAAGTATTTCTGTAGCCATGGCGATTCCTTTTTAAAACAATTTTTGAGGCATGGCTTTAGAGCAAATGAATCGTGTGCAGTATTAATGGGCTTATGTTTATTATGAAATAACTCCTTAGAGGCTGGTATCACTTCACCAAGTTATCCTTTATTTACATTGAACAGTCCTGACAATAGCACTGCCTCAGAATCAGGCATCAGATTAACAACTCCAATCAGAGGACTCATTCTATGAAGTCCAGCTGGCTAACCGCATCACAATCACTACATACCCTCTCTCTCTGAGTCCATGGACATAGCTGGTCCTCTTTCATGGAGAACGTTCTGGTGTGTTTTAGCGTCGGGTCAGGTTCCTCTGACTACAGGCAGCGTGTAACGCATGGGAGTTCGCCATTTGTGCCTCGACTGAATTTCACTTTCTTCCAGCAGCAAAGGCATTGAGGTGGCTACATCCGTCATGTCCATTTGTGATCTGAGGACATGTCCACGCTGGATGGGGAGCGCAAATCCATGGGTTCTGGCAGCATTTATGATGGTTCCGAGGGGCAGGACATATTTTACTCCCGCACCATTTGAGAATTCATGGCTTCATATTGTCCTCATGCCTATTCAGGTTCGTCGTACTTACCTGTATTTATATGTCACTGGTCCTGACCTCGCATCAACTATGCCTCCTAACCATGTAGAGCTATTTCTCTATCCTACACCAATCTTCTTCCTCTGTATCAAACTGTCTCTCTTACTTGGCAGAATCTTGGATCCAGCTTTGGAGTTCCTGAAGTCATTTCACCTCCCGCTGCCCCAGGTCCTGGAAGATCAGACTTAACCTGGTGCAGAATCTTCTACCCATTAGCAACTCTGATGGAGCTATCCCTGTAGTTGCATGTGGGATAGAGCTATTATCCAACAAGAACCATGACAGCTTGGAATCTAATGAGGCCATAGGCTGTTTCCTCAATCCGGCCTTCAAAGTTTGGATTGCTACTTCTACCAGGCCATTGGATGAAGAAGCTGTCTGAATATGTCGAATCCCATTTGACTTTAAGAAATATCTAGATCTCTTGCTGGTAAATGATAGGCCATTATCTGTGACCAACACTTCTGGGACTTAGTGTTTTGCAAGAGATGCATGCAGTTTTTCTACCTCTTCCCACTGTTTGATGAATGGACCCTGTGTACATTCAACACTTTGAGTGGACATTACAATAAGTAAGAACATTGAACCCATGAAACATTTTGTATAGTTTGTGCAACCAACTCCAACCCAGCCATTCCCATTGATGTGGGGGAAGCTGCTGGCGGGAATGTTTGTCCTTGTTAACAATGCGGTTATGTCTGCACCCAAGCCTGGCCAACAGATAAAACATTTCACAAACAACTTCATTTTGGAAAACCCTGGATGACCTTTGTGGAGTTCAGCCAGTATTTGGTGGGGATCTTTGCTTAGAACAATCACTCTTGGTCCCTGTAATGATATGCCATCCTCTACTATAAGCTGGTCTCTCCAGGTCCAAAAAGGTTTCAGTTCTAGTAGTGATGGCCTTTTGGTTTCCCCCATCAATACAAGTTATTTCAGTTTGGATTTTTCTGTGTTCAAAATCTGATATTCTCAGCTGTGACTGGGAGCTTGTCCCGAAAATTTAATATCACTACAGACTTTTCCATTAGGTGTACCATCTCATCTGATAATTCATCTGCTAATAGGAGGTGGCTCAATGCATGCACATTCTCTACTCAACCTCCCGGACATTGTTTTAACTTATAATTATAAGTGCTTAGTGTTAGAGGCCACCAGTGAATGCAGCTCGAAACTATAAGCACCACAGCTTTGTCCTCTTTAAGCAGATCAAGTGCAGGTTTATGGTCCGTGATTATCCCGAGTTTTTGTCCATAAAAATATTGGTGGAATTTCCTCACTCCAAATATGACCAATCCTTTCTCTATCTGGGTATATTTACACTTTGCATTAGCTAAAGTTGTGGATGCATAGGCTATTGGGCATTCCTCTCCATTTAGCCACCTATGATCTAATATCACCCTAATGCCATATGGGAAGACATCGCGTGTCAATACCAGATCTTTCTTGGGATCATAGTGTGCCAACACCTTAGAGGATGATAGCTGTTTCTCTACTTCGTTGAAAGCTAGGGCTTGTCTAAGAGACCATTCCACGGCTTTTTTAGGAGTAGAAGCAAAGGTACCAGGATGGATGTCAGCTTATGTATGAACTTACCATAAACATTTACCAGCCCAAGAAATGACCTAAGATGCTGGACAGACATGGGAGCTGGGGCACCTTTGATCACCCTCACTTTACCTTCCAACAGGTGTATCCACTGTTGTTGCCACTGAAATAACATTATGGATGCTGGTATCCCTTCATTAAGTCACCCTTTATTTACACATGAACAGTCCTTTGCTATAGTACTGCCTCATATAGAGTCAGGCACCAGAGTGTCAGTATCTCTGACACTTACCATTTTTATATGTCAGCCAGAGCTCCCTGTGAAGTTGTTAGAATAGCTTGGCTATGTAGATCATGCACAAGCAGTTTAGGATATATAGTGAACTAGGTTACTTTAGAGTGAAGGCTTAGTTCCAAACCAGAAATGTTGGGATAAAACCCTAATGAGGTTATTTAAAGCTCATCGAAGCTCAGACGTATTACAGCTCCATGAAGAAGCTATCTACAGTTTCAGACTAAACATTGAAGTCACATGTGACTTAAATCTGTCCTGTTTGATACAGGGACTCTGGTATGAGTATTATATGAATAGTGTTTTGGATGCTGTAGCAGTGATGTATTTTGAGTACAATACAAAAACTGATTTGTTTCTTTTCAAATTATAAAGGTGTCTTGGGATTAATGGGTTTCTATTTTATGTTCTAAAATCATTGAATTTGTATTACAAGTCAGAAATCCTTTATCTGAAAACTTCCAAACTAACTGTTTTTCAGATAAAGGATATTCTGGATTTTTGGGCCCAATTGTCTGTTTGGATCTGGTTGTGTTCATTTGGGCCCTTTGGAAAATAACTTAAACCTGAATGGACCTAAAAGCAAAGTTGAAGCAAACCTGAAAGGACCCAAACTGACCCATTGACAATGCTGAGTTTGGCCCCTTGGGGGAAAAAATTGGTTTTACATTTGTTCAAGCCTAGTATTTTTTCCATTATGTCTACATTCAGGTTCACTTACAAAAGACCTTCGGTTTTCACATGTACAGATAATGAATATCCGACCTGCATTAGTAAATAATTTGGATTATTCTATTATAACTTCTGTTCTTCTGTTAATAAACCTCCCTGTCTGGGATCTGACTTGTCCAGCAATAATATAAGCTGGAATCACAACAGCAAACATGCACAGCAAGTTTGATTCAGATTGAATTACTTTATCCCTTACTCCAACTTCAGCTATTATATTATCACCCTTACGAGTGGTATCTGTTTGTCCATGTATTTTGTGAACACTAGCACTTTTCTCTTGGTTGGTTTAAAGCTCTCCCAATAACACAAGCAAACTATCTCACAAGAAACTCCATCCCAGCTCTGTTCAGGTGTAAACCATGAGCTTGTACCCAGTCCCAGTGTCCCAGGTATCTAAAGCCCTTGTTCCTGCACCATTTTTCCAGTAACGCATTAATCTGTCTTATCATCCTATTTTTGTACTAATTTGCACAGGGAAGAAAGGAACACAAAGTGTGGGTCCAAAAGTGGATCTGGAAGCTGAGATCAGACATGATCACTATGAATGGTGCAGCAGGCTTGGCAGACATATGGTCTACTTCTGTTACTGTTTTGTGTTTGTATGATGCTAAAATGTTGGTATGACTCCTGGGTTAAATGGTTTGCCCCAACAACTGACGTGCTATCTGATAAGTTTGCCCATTAGGTGAATTGTGGCATCTTTCACTTTTCCGTATAGTGTTCCATTAGCAAGGTTACAAATTTAGATACATAACAGGAATAGGCTTTGTCATATTAAAAATTTCTCTAGGGTCCCAGGGAGAATAGCTTGAATTGCACTGTCAGTGCTCTGCCTGTTCCTCAATGGGAAGAGTTTCCACTCTCTGAATGGACAGCTTGATTTTGACCACAGACAGCAAACCATGCAAATCTGTGTTTTCTGGCAGTTGTCATCCTTCATTCATCCTACACCAGTCATCTGTGCTGTATTTGTTCTACTTAGGTCATCAGGTTACAGGCTGATTACTCAGTGACTGGGATCTTCTGTCTAGACATGGATCATGAACCCTGCCAGTAAAGTTCAGTGCAGCTGCAGAACAGGCCTTCTCATGAAGGCCAGGCCACCACCAAAGCCTTACTAGAGGAACTCTATCATCCACCCCTGGCTGTTTCCAGTCTCATGATGTATATTTTGCTACACTGAGGAATCAGCTGTTGCCAATACGTTATAAGACTATAACGCGTAGGAGCAGAACTAGGCCATTTGGCCCATCAGTTCTGCTCCATCATTCAATGAGATCAAGGCTGATCTGATATTCCTCAGCTTCATTTTCCTGCCTTTTCCCCATAAACCTTTGATTCTGTTATATTAAAAATCTCTCTATCTCAGCCTTGAAGCTACTTAATAATCTAGCCCCAACAACCCTCTGTGTTAAAAATATTCTACAGATTCACTACCTTTCAAGAGAGAAAATTCCTCCTGATCGCTCTTAAATCATCCCTTATTCTGAGATTATGCCCTCTGATCCTAGACTGTCCCACAAGGGAAAACAACTTTGCCTCATTCACCCTTTCAAGCCCCCTAAGAATCTTGTACGTTTCAATAAGATCTCCTCTCATACTCCTAAACTCCAATGAATACAGGCCTAACCTTCTCAACTTCCCTTCATAAGAAAATCCCTCCATGTTCAGGATCAACGTAGTGAACCTTCTCTGGATTGCCTCCAATGCTAGTATTTCCTCAGATAAGGGAACTAAAACTATAAACAGTCTTCCAGCTGTGGTCTGATGAGTGCCCTGTATAGTTTTAGCAATACTTCCCTATTTTTATACTCCATTTCCTTTGAAATAAAGGTCAACAGTTCTTTTGCCTTCCTATTACCTGCTGAATTTATATGCTAGTTTTTTGTGATTCACACACAAGAACCCTAAATCCTTCTAAATGCAACTTGCTACAATCTCCCTCCACTTAATAAACACTCATCTCTTCTATTCTTCCTACCAAAGTAGATAATTAACATTTTCCAAAATTATATTCCATCTGCCAAGTTTGTGCCCACTCACTTAACCTGTTTGTGTACCTGTTAAACCCCCACCAGTTATCTCTCTCTAACAACTGAGCAGCTCGATAGCCTGGTAGAATTGTGGGGATTATACCTTTCATTTTCAGTTTTTTGGAGGGCTTCGTGCTACAAGGCTTGGTGAGATTTCTTACCAAACTCGCTTACTTAACTACCCAGCCCACCCCTAATAAGCCAAACCTCTATCCATTCCAATAATCTTCCCCAATACCATGTGCTTTTCTGTTATTAAGTAGCCATATATGCAGCACCTCATCAAACACCTTTTGGAAATCCAAATATATTACAGGGTTCCCCTGTATCTATCTGCTTGTAACCTGCTGAAGAATTGTAATAAATTGAAT